TCCAGAAAAGGTAAATTTTTAGAGAGAAGGCAGATCAGCAGTTGCCAAGGGCTGAGAGAAGTTTCTGGGACAGACTGAAAATGGGCTTGAGGACAAGTTTTGGTATTGGAAGTGTTCTAAAACTGGGTTGGAGTGAGGCTGAATTTACTAAAAAATGGAATTATATGCTGAAAATGGGTGGATTTTATGGCATGCAAATTATTCGCTTGATAAAGCTGTTAAAAAAAAACGAAGATGAGCAGTGGCAGCAAGCTTTGTTGGAAAGATGGTGGGCCTGGGGTCATGTGGACCAGTAATGGTGCCATGTTTTGGGCTCTGTGTGGCACCCCTGATTGGCAGGGTCTCACTTAACCTTCTCATGACAATCCCGCTGGGATGGTACTATTATTGCTGACTCCATTTTAGAGGTGTGGATCCAGGCTCAGAAAGGTTCAGTAACATAGCCACAGTCACACAGCTAGCAGGGAGCAGAGCTGGGACTCACATCCACATCCATGACACCACAGCTGTGCTCCTAACCCAGAGCTCCCTGACCAGAGATCTCTCTTTGGTAATAGACTCTAAAATAGATGGGCAGTGGACAAACTTTTACAGGTAAGATCTGTTAAAACTTCTTTAAATGCTGTCTCTTGACTTTATAAGTGTGGTATGCTGTATGGTAATTATATTAGTTATCAAGAGTCACAATGTCTGCATCCTATTTTAAGTGCCCTGGTGCAGGGAGAATTTACTTTTTGACAGTTAAGAATAAACAGGCACTGTGGCATGTCATTTTATTTTATTTTATTTTTTAAAGATTTTATTTATTTATTTGACAGAGAGAGATCACAAGTGGGCAGAGAGGCAGGCAGAGAGAGAGTGAGGGAAGGAGACGCCCCTCTGAGCAGAGAGCACGAGGCGGGGCTCGATCCCAGGACCCTGAGATCATGACCTGAGCTGAAGGCAGAGGCTTAACCCGTTGAGCCACCCAGGCGCTCCATGGTATATCATTGAAAGCTGTTTTGCGTGGGATCGGTGGGCTGATGGGCAGGGAGCATGTTGGTACCAGAGATCAGATACACCCCAGGGAACAAAATGGGGGCCTCCATTCGCAGATGGTTCTGAGATGCGTGGGACAGAGGATGCTGGCCACACCATGTGAGAGATGCTTCAGGGGGCAGGGTGGGTGGCAGGGAACCTTCTGCCCCAAATGCCTGCATTTTCTTCCCAGCTAAGAGCGGAGACATGGGCTAGAAAGGAACACCTCTTTTTGGAAAGGTTTCCAACCTGAAGAACAAGAAACATAATGACATTAGGGTTAGCATTTCCTGAGCACAAACAATGCACAGGGCATTGTCCTAAACACCTTCCTGTGTTTACTCCCAGGACAACCCATGACGCAGGAGCTGTGAGGTTTTTCCGAGGAGGAGAGAGCAGCACAAAGGGTTTCCCTGAGACCCTGAAGGTCACGTGGTTACGCGATGGTGGAGCTGGGCTTCTGGACCGGGAAGCTTTGTGAAATCCTCTTTCCTGAGCTCTGTCCCTCGTACCCTCTGATCCGAGCCCTGTGACTATCCTGCGAGTGGTGTCCCCAATGCCGCATCCTCTTCCCCCCGAACAGCTTCTGCCTGCCTTGGCATGGGAGTGGCCACCATTCCCCCGGTGACAATGACACCAGTTGGGGTGACTTCCCTACCCTCGGGGGACTTTCTCGGTGCTGGAGACCAAGTGAGTACTTTTGACCATGTCAAGAGTTTCATTTGGTGGTCCTGACATTTGGTGAAGGGCCCTGTTGAAGGGTCACGCTGGCGATATCTTCCTCTCTTCTTCTCTGGACTGTAAACACCACGAATAGTCCCTGAAGCCTCAGACTCAGCTCGGTTCACCTGAATGGCCGCGCATGGGTTCACCGGCAGGTGACTGGGCAGGTGAAGAGATGCCTACTTGGAAAACTGAGGTGCCTGGTGGGGGGCGGGGTGGGTGGGGTAGGTGGGGGCTGGGAGGGCTGCCAACGTTCTGACTCTGAAGCACTTTCAAATTCTCCAGCACAGACGTGAAGGAAGGGGTGATTACTTCCTTTGACAAGGAAGGGACAGTGAGTTAAGAAGCTGATGGATCAGGAATTCACATGGGGTCGGGGTGGGGTTACTTAGTATTTGAAAGACTCTACTCAGAAACCCATATTGCAGAGGGGCCACCACAAGCTCTGGCTAACTAGAGTCAACACAAGTTGATCTAGAATACAAGATTAGGAGTCAACACTCATAAGCCTAACAGAAGATTCTTTAAAAAGCGATTTTCCAGCAATGAAATGACGTGTGTGTTAGGTGTATGGGTTGGCTGGGAACCTTGTATGGGTGCCCCGTCCTTGTGTGAATGGTCCCTAGACTCAGGATTTGCTTGTTTCATTAGATGCTTTTAGGGGGTTTTGTCACCTGGCTCTGAAGAAGAAGTTCTTCAAATCTGGAGATAGAAGTTCTCTATCTGCCTATAGAACACGGTCACTTCTGCCCTGAGGGAAACCTTGCTGCAATTCTGTAAAAATCATTCCTGAGTATTCTGAAGCTCCTGATTCAGAGTCTTTAAATCACAGATCAGATGAAAGCCTGAAGATTTTGGCATCTACAGGATGGCTGTGTTTCCCCCCTCATGCAAAAAAAAAAAAAAAAAAATCCTATCACTAATCTCCCAACAGTGACCTCAACATGTGCGTCCCCCCTCCAGCTCAAGGGGTTGTTGTCCCCACCTAACCCACCCACCCACAGTAAAAAAGGCTCTCGTTCACGCTTTCCTTTTGCTCCTGCCTCCTGGTGCAGCCCCATGAGGCCCTGCACAGCGGGCATGCCTTCTCTTCTTAGGAATCGGAAGTCACACCATTCTTTTAAAAGTGGTTGTCTCTGTGTCTTCCTCTGACCGTCTCTGACTAAAACAATTCCTACACGTGTCTCAAAACAAAGACCAGGGTTAGGGATCTGGAAAAAAACAGAGAGCTGCAGGCTCACCAAGTTGGCAAAATCTGCTTCAGGACTGTTCTCATGTCTTCTCCCTAATGTAAGTCTGAACGGGCTCTGCCAAGCCTGGGAGCCTGACTTTCACTGCCGTGGGCCCCTTCGGGGCAAGGCTGGGGAGGGGGGAGGAGCTGGTGGCCTTCAGCCACCCCTGACTGGTGGAGGGTCCCGATGGCCACAGAGCTAGTAGTCCTGCCCAGCAGAAGTGTCTCTTCCCAGTCCCTCACACCTGTGCCCTGGTAGGGCACCCATGCTGTGCATGCCTGGAGCCAAGCCCTACCCAGGGCTGGCTCTGCACAGTGCTTTCCTGGCATGCCCACTGGGCAGAGCATGGTGCATATGGCAAGCATGGTGAAAGTCAGCATTGGCGACCCCAGTACCTGGGCTCCAGTCCTGGTTCTGATTCTGCCCAGGGAGCCCCTGTGGCCTGGGCTAGTTGCTTCTGCTCTCTGTTCTCCTGGGAGCATGGGTGGGGAGGATCGGGGGTCCCATGAAGCTCCTCTCCAGCTATCCAGTGTAACCCCCTTCTATTTACTTTATTCCTGGGTAGAAGGGCTCAGGAAAGCCAACACAAGGGCCCTGGCATGATAAGGTGATGTAGGGCACCAGTGCCCTCCCCCGCCAAAAGAATCTTGGATCTGATGGCCTGGGGGCCTCCAGCAGAGGCTGCAGGAGAGGCCTTTGGTAATGAAAGGGGAAGCAGAAAGAGCCAGGACAGCTTGTGTGGCAGAGAGCAGGGAGGGATCGTGGGGTTGTCTTTGCCCGGTCGCACTGTTTTCTGCTGCACCACATGGGGTCTTTTGGGATTCAGAGTCAGGGAGCCGGGCTGTGGTCCCCAGGAGTCAGCAGGAAGGAAGCTGGGCACCCAGAGGGCTGTGTGTGTGTGCGTGACAGCATCAGAGCCAGGAAGGCAGCCAGCTCTGATGAAGCTTGGCGGGAGAGCTATGGCACCCCCTGCTCCAGAGAGGTCGTCACGACCCAGACGCTAGCCCTTCCGTCTTCCAGTCTGAGACACTCACCCGGTTTTGTGGAGCCCCTACCAAACCCACCAACGATGCCAACCTCCTTGGACTTCTCTGGCCTTGGTTATACCATGCCAGCCCCAGGGACCTCTTTCTTTCCCTGCCTGACTGCTCGTTGCTAACTCAGGCTTTGTGCTCTCAGGGCCCCTCTTCTGTCTCACGCCCTACTCGCAAGCACCCTCCTCTATATCTTCACAGCTTTCGTCATTGATTTACTTATAAGTTTGTGTGGTTGTCATGGGGGTCCATCATCCCCGTTTAGGCCCGAGGTGGGGCAGGGACCTTGTCTGTCTGACTCACTCACACTAGGCACAAAGGAGGTGCTCAGTGAGTTTTTGTTGAAATGGATGAATGAGGAGTGCCTGGGTGGCTCAGTCGGCTAAGCACCTGCCTTCGGCTCAGGTCATGATCCTAGGGTCCTGGGATGGAACCCAGCATTGGGTTCCCTGCTCAGTGCTTCTTCCTTTCCCTCTACTGACCCCCTGTTATCTCTCTCTCTCGTCAAATAAATGAATAAAATCTTCAGAAGAGAAAAGGAAAGGAATGGATGAATGAATTCAGTCAGCTCCTAAGATGTCACATCATGACAACCTGGCCACTGGGAGTTAGCCCATAACCACAATCAGATTTGGGCCTTGAAGGCAAGTGGAAACATCGTTCTTGGCCAAATCCTCATTTTAGGTCTATTGACTTCTTTCCTATAACTCTGCCATACTGTGATTGCCCTGCAGATTACTGTTCCTGGGGCTTCGAGGAACAGGAATATGCTCACCAGAAACGTCCATGAGGCTAGTTACTTGGGAGGATTTGTAGAGAAGAGAAGCGACGGAGGGATGAACGGGCTTTGTGACTGGGGGTTGTGACCCATATCTCTGCTGACTTTCACTGAGTGAGCCCTCAGAGGGGCGTCCCAGGAGCAGATGCAGCTCTGCTGGGGTCAGGCAGACCCTCAGAGCAGAAGGAGACACATCTTCAAGTCATACTGAGATCATCACAACACAATTTATTTCCTGGGAGTTTTCAATGTGGACTCCGTCAGCAGGAGGTTTCCACCTAGAATTTCGTGGGATTTTCAACTTTCCCAAGGAAGAGAATGGCCTCTGTGGCTCTGTTGATCAGCAGCAGCAGGAAGGGCCGATCGAAGCGGACGACGGTGTGAGAGGGGCCGTCCTTCGAGCGGACTATGAGCTTGGTGGCCGTGGCCGCTGCGGCTTCGGTGCCCTCCTCGCTGACATCCAGCACAGCCTTGTGGGCGGCCTGCCAAGGGAAAAACACACGTCAGCAGCCCCCACGGAGGCAGCGCTACTTCACTGAGCCTCGGGGTTCTGCCTCGGGGACGGTGATGCCCCCTCCAGGGACCTTCAGCTCACTGCTCCCGATGCCGGGCATGGGGTGTGCACCTGCCGCTGAGATGGTGAACTGGATCTCTACGAGCCCAGTGGTTGCAAATGCACACCAGAAAGCTTAGGGTTGTGTCCCAGTACTGCCACTTTATTGGCCTGGAAGTTACTTAGGGGCTGCTGATGTCACTTTCCAAATCTCTGAAAGGGTCATCGTCCTGGTGTATTTCCCACAAGGTCATGGGTGAATTAAAGGAGATCAGGCAAAGTACGGGTGCCACTGTATTGCTAAAAGGTTGCCCAGGAGATGCAGGGTGGTGTCATTACATAGTGGGTCCCTTCTGGGTCTTCTAGAGAAGAGACTTCACCAGGGGCTCATGCCCTCCCAAGCCTCAGGGGGCCTGAGAACTCCAGGCAGTTACAGCTGCTTCTGTTCGTATGTGCACATAAGTACATGATGGGAAAATGACCGTTACACTCAGCATACGCCATTGGGACCTCTGTAGTCTTTCCCCGGACACCAATGACAAAGCCCCCTTCAATGACCCAGGACCACCTCTGACCATTCTAGTCTATCATCAAGATACATTTTTCGGTCAGGGATCAGAAACTCCTAAGCAGACAAGAACCAGACCTTTTGGAAGAGCAGGGGGGCAGGCACACAGGGCCCCTGGAGGGTTCCCTCTCCCTAAGAGGGGTGCTCACGGCTCGGGTCTGGCTGATGGATTCTACATAGAGGTTTGGGTTCACTGTTGCCATGTGGGAATCGGACTCAGTGATTTCTTTCAAGACAATCAGAAATCTCTCCTTTGAGGTACAGTAGCCTACATGGTAGAAATAGGCTCTTTTTCTTTTTAACATTGCAAGCCAAACACAGCACTTCTACAGGGTACAAATGGCCCTTGGGCAGCCGATGTGACTTCAGTGTGAGGCCCCAGGATTCAGGGAGGTGAGGCCGAATGCCAGGTGGGCATTCACTTATCTGTAGCAGGTCTCGAGGTGGAAGTGTTGTCTTCCTAGGACAGGCCTAGTTTTCAAGGAACGGTAGCTGGATCTTGGAATTGGAAGAAGGATAAAAGTTGCCTGTGTATCAGAAGGATGATGGCCATAAAGCCACAGGCCTGGAAACCTTGAAATTCAGCCCTACTTCTGCCATAGAGAGGTCATTTTGCCTCTCAGGGTCAATGTTTCCTTATCAATGAGATGTGAGGGCTCGATTAGCCAGTCGCCATAGTCCCTTCCAGCTCAGGCAAATGTTCTCATGGATCAACTCACTTTGGAAAGCTGCAGGAAGTCTCTCTTTGTAATTCCGGAAAAATCAGCATTTTTATCAAAGGCATCCCAGATGCCCATCTTTGGGAGGATGGTTTCTAGGTCATAGGAGGCAGAAATGGAGAATTTTGGAATGAACACCTCTATCCACCTGTGGAGATGGGGAAAAGGACAATGTGAGGTCACAAGCCCTTTGGTCTCTAGCTCTGCTTCTCGGAGGCATTTTGGGAGACTTTGTTCTTCTTCTAGCTTTTGCTGGTTGCTGTTAAAGTAGTCAACGCATCCCAGACATCCAACCCAGGTTGCTCTGGAGGTAAGCCCCCTGGATGAGCAAGTCTGGCTTCATAGAGAAGTAAGAAGGGTGCGGGGGGGGGGGTTGTGTAATAAAGTAAAGGACAGACCATAGACAGGGGCCCAGTAAGAGGTCCTGTGGCAACGATCAGTGGGGGACACCAGTCAGTGATGCACATTGTGTCCACCGTCTCCCCTAGCCCTTCCTGAGACAAACCCTGCCAAACACTGAGAGCAGCAGAGTCCAGTAGAACTTTCTGCAAGGTTGGAAAGATTCTGTCTGTGCTGACCAGGATGTCGGCAACTGGCCACACGGGGTTATCGAGCCCTTTAAATATGGCTAGTGCCAATGGTGGGGAAAAACCTGTAGTTTTACCAATTTTTATCCATTTAAATTTAAATAACTGCATGGGGCTAGTAGTTGGACAGCATAATTTTTTTCCTTCCTCTGCAATGGTTTCCCTGAACCAAGAATGAAAAGCCCACATTTTCTGAGCATTTACTGTGTGTCAGGCACTGTCCCAGGCACTTTCATGAGCTTCATTTCCATTTTAAAGACGTTAAGATTGTTTTATTGCTTTGCCCAAGGTCATGTACTTGGTAAGTCACAGAAATGAAAGCACAGAAGTGCTGGGTGGACACTTACATCCTCATCGATAGGCATCTAGCACAATGGACAGCTCTCTCTTCCTGGTTAGGGTCCCCTGTGCTGGCCCGGCCATCTCCTCCCTGGTCCATCTGTTGCTCTTCACACACTGCCCCCTGCCCCAGCCTCCATGCTGCCTCCTCTGTCCAGCTGTGGTGACAGTCAGAGGACAAACCTCTGAAGCATCCTATAGTGTTCCTTGGTTCCCAGCTATGTCTCTTTGCCAGCACTATTTCCTTTACTGGGAGTGCCCTTCTCAATCCTATCTATACCTTCACGTCCTACCTATGCTCCTGACTCACGTCACGACCTCCTTGAAGCCCGCCATGGATCCCAGCTAAAAGCTATCTCTTTTTGCTCAGAAGCTCCTCAGCACACTGCCTGGGCTTCCTCTGGGGCACTGAACTTTGTCTTCTTGAGTTAGTTAACCCTGATCCTGTCTTGTCTCCCCTGGATCTTGGGCACCCGGGAATGGTGCCAACGAGGCCAAGAAAATATTGCTCAGAGATTGTACATAAGACTTTGACTTTCCTTTTTATCTTATGGTTAATCGTCTTTTGATGGTCTCCATAATAGATACAGAACTAATAATAATCTTACTATTAGCTAACATTATCGATCACATATGATCTTTCTGGCACTGTTCTAAGCACTTTATAAATAGTAACTTGTTTTATCTTTTCAACATCTTCTGGGTTGAGTAGCAGTATTACCCTCATTTTCTAGGTGAACGTTGGTGCTTTTTTTTGCTGGTTTGTTTTTATGGAATCATTCCATGGAATTTAATATCAGATTGGCTGGTAGAGTGAGTTCTCCTGGGATGGAATCACTACAAGGACATAATAGTGTTGTGGGGACATATTAGCTACATGGCCTTGGGCAATTCACCTCCCCTCCTGGAGACTCTAGTTCCTTATCTATGGGTGGGGATGATAGCACTCTTCATCTGTCAGGTGATTGTGAAGTTCAAGTGAGACCACAGCCCCAAGTTCCCTATCCAGCAGGCAGCTGGGGCTTAGTTGGCATTCAAGAGCTGCTATCATGGTCTTTCCCCTGTCCTTGGAGGTACCCCACCAGCGGCCTCAGGCCCCAGGAGACTGACACAGATTCCCACCTTTTCTGGAGTAAGTGGCTCCAATTCCTCAGTGTCTTGGCTGACAAAGTCTGTTCCAGCTGCCTCATCTTGCCCTGGCCAGGGAGGACAAAGAAGGCTGCGGTATGTCTGCCGTAGTCCATCCGCAGCACTGAGCAGTTCAGTTTTGGATCCACTCCAAAGACAAACTCTTCCACCTGGTGCATCATTGGGACCTTCACAGTGGTCTTCTTGCCCACCAGGAATGGGGAGTTCTTCCTCGTAGAGCCAGGGTTAAAGGGCTTTTCCCATTTGGCTAGCATGGAGAGAGAAGAGAGGTCTTTACGTCTAAGTACAGATGGTAAGTGGAGGACAACGAAAATGATGAAGTAAGGATCTCTGAAAACTCTCTCCTCCATAAAAGCCATGAAAAAACTGCCCACAATGGTCAGAATAAACTTCTTTAGAATTCTGGAAATTAAACAAACTCTGTAAGCAGATTATGGGACAGTTTATTAAATGGAAGCGGCTAAATCTTGGTAAGAAATTGAGCTTTGTGGTGTTTTAACTTGCCCTAGTTCCATTCCTTTTGTACTAACTCTTCAATAATAGCCTTGAAAAATAATAGCCTGTATTTGCAGTGAAATCCAGCAGGCTGGCAGCCACTGAAGGGGAAAAAATAGGGCTGGAACCCATTCAAAGACTCATTCCCAGAGAACTGTTATTTGACCCATCTTGTGCTTCCCTGGAAGGCATCACTTGCAAAATTGCCTGTGTTTGATCTGATTTGGAGTTCAACCAAGGCAAAAAAGATTATTCCTTGGAGGAAATTAGTCAAAAACAGTCACACGTGATGATAAATTTTGCAGCTTCTGGAGGCAGTAGGTAAGAGTTGGGACAAACAACAGATTAATCAAAAAGGTTAACAGGATGGGTTGGGATCAAGGGTGGCATCTGCAAATATGACAAAGTAAGGACATCTGTATATTTCCCCTTCCATTAGGACAATAAGAAAAACTGGCAAAGATATTCAGAATCAACTTTTTTGGAACTCTGGAAATTAACCAAAGGCTTACAGCTACCTGGGGAGAGTTAATTCAAGAAAAATGGCTGAATCTCAAGAACAGTCAACTTCATGGTTATTTTAACCTGTGCCAGTTCCACCCTCTGCTCTCCAGCTTAGCAGTAGCCTTGAAAAATAGCAGCCTATATTCCCAAAATCATTGAGAGAATAACTTTCAAAGACTCATTTTTATCGCTTGACCTCTGTAGTTATCTGGAAGACCCCCATTTCCAAGGTTGACTGGTGCTCACTCAGTGCTAAAGCCTTCTTCCCAGGGGGTTGGAAATTTTTGTTAGAAACAATTACAGGCAAGTGTTTTAGTTTCATTGTTGTCCGGGTGAGGATAACAGATGGGACGAACCACAGAGTGATCAAAATTTCTGAAAGGAGAAGCTGAAGAATAAGATGTCCTTAGGACATTTGAGATAGTTCCACTATATCCTGGGCATTTTGAGGCTGCATGCATGTATATAGCTGTATGTATATTTGAGAAAAAATGTGAGAAGGCTGTAAGTTCCTACTTATGGCTGACTTTGAGAATTTGCATAAACAGAAAGTGAAGACTGAGTCAGATTTATAAACTGGCTGGGTGAGTGTTGATGGCACACTCTGCTATGTACACAAAAGCCCTCAGCAAAGACTAAGAGATTTATTTGTTTTGGACACATATGGAATCTCTACCCAGTCATAGCTAACCACTTAACTAAACAAGAACACCCTTTGGTGGTCACACAGCACAAAGTATAGACTTTAATTATTTCAGAAAAATCACTAAACAAACAACAACTACTGCAACAAGAAAAAAACAATCAGCCCTTGAAAGGGAGAGAATCTGATTCTCAGAGTTGTTGCACTACATAATTTTAAAAATCTAGCTCTTACAAAAAAAAAAGTGAGACATAAAAAGAAAGTATAGACCAAACAATCCACTAATATCAAAAATTAGAGAAGAAACAATGCCATAGATCTTGTGGACATTAAAAGGAAAAGAAAGGAATACTACAAACAACTCTATGTCCACCAATTTGATAACCTAGATGAGATATTCCAATTTGTTGATACATAAGAAGAAATAGACAATATGAATAGGCCTATATCTATTAAAGAAATTGACAATAATTAATAACTTTCCAAAACAGGAAATACCAGGTCCAGATAGATTCACTGGTGAAGTCTACCAAACATTTAAGGAAGAAATTATACCAATTCTTACAATGTCTTTCAGAGGATAGAAACAGAGAAAATACTTCCTAACTTGTTCTATGAAGCCAGCATTATTTTAATACCCAAATCAGACAAAGACATAGCAAGAAAGGAAAACTACAGACCAATATCTGTCATGAACATAGATGCAAAAATGCTCCACAAAAATATTAGCCATCAAATTTGATAATGTATAAAAATAATTATACACCACAATCAAATGGGGTTTATCCCAGGTTTGTAAGGCTGGTTCGACATTTGAAAATAAATTAATGTAATCCATTATCAAGAAGCTAAGCAAGAAAAAGTAATCATTTCGATAAATGAAGCAAAAGCATCTGACAAAATCTAGCACCCATTCATAGTAAAAATTCTCAGTAAACTAGAAGTAAAAGAGAACCTCCTCAATTTGTTTTTAAAATATCTACAAAAAGCCTATAGCTAACGCCAGACTTAATGGTGAGAAATGCAAAGCTTTTCCACTAAGTTCAGGTATAATACAAGGATGTTCCCTCTTGCCACTCCTTTTTGGTATTTTACTGGAAGTTCTAGATAATGCAATAAGATAAAAAAAAAGAAACAAAAAGTATACAGATTGGGAAGGCAGACATAAAACTGTCTTTGTTCACAGATGACATGATCGTCTATGTAGAAAATCCAAGAGCTGACAAACAAAAGAACTCCTGGAACTCGTAAGTGATTAAAGCAAGGTTGCAAGATACAAGGTTAATATGCAAAAGTTGATGCTTTTCCATACATCATCAATGAAAGAATGGAATTTGACATTAAAAACACAATACCATTTACATTTGCATCCAAAAACAACTTATACATTTAGCAAAATATGTATAAGATCTATTGAAGAAAATTATAAAACTCTGATGAATGAAATCAAAGAACTAAATGAATGGAAAGATATTCCTTGTTCATGAACAGCAAGACTCAATATTGTTATAATGTCAGTTCTTCCCAATTTGATCTATAGATTCAATGCAATCTCAATCAAAACCTTAGCAGATTGTATTATAGATATTAACAAACTAATACTAAAGTTTATATAAAAAAACAAAAGACCCAGAATAGGCAACACAGTATTGAAGGAGAAGAACAAAGTTGGAGGACTGACAATAACCAACTTCAAGATTTACTCTAAAGCTATGGTGCTCGAGACAGTCTGGTATTAGTGAAGAACAGATGGACAGATCAATGGAACAAAGAGAGAGCTTACAAATAGGCCCATGTAAATATAGTCAACTGATCTTTGACAAAAGAGTAAAGACTCAAAGGAGTGCAGTGAAAATAGTCTTTTTGACAAATGGTGTTGAGACAACGGCATTCATATGCAAAGGAAAAAAAAAGAATCTAGACATATACTTTCTATCTTTCACTAAAACTAACTCAAAATGGATCACAGACCTAAAGTTAAAACACAGAATTGTAAAACACCTAGAAGATAATATAGGAGCAAAACTAGATGACTTTGGGTATGGCAATAATTTTTAGAACACCAAAGGCATGATCCCTGAGAGAAATCAGTGATAAGCTGAACTTCATTGAAATTTAAAACTTCTGCTCCGTGAAAGACAATGTCAACAGAATGAAAAGCCAAGTGACCTACTAGGAGAAAATATGCACCTGATAAGACTGTTATCCAAAATGTACAAAGAACTCCTAAAACTTAGATAAGAAAACAAGTAACAGGATTTTAAAAAGTGGGCCAAAACCCTGAACAGATAGATCACCAAAGAAGATGGGCAGGTGGCAGATAAACATGAAGAGAGGCTCCATATCCTATGTCATCAGGGAAATGCAAATTGAAACAACCACAACGCACCCGTTCACACGGCCCGCGTCTGGAACACTGACAACACCAAATGCTGGAGAGGATGGGAAGCCACGGGGACTCCCCCACTGCTGGTGGGAATGCAAGATAGTAGAGGCACTTTGAAGGACAGTCTGGTGGTTTCTTTCCAAACCAGCACTCTTGCCGTACAATCCTGCAAGCAAGCTCCTTGGTAGAAGGAATTGAAAACTACGTCCACACAAAACCCTCCATGTATTATATGATTCTATTTATAGAACATGTCCAGAATAGGCAAATCTATGAAGACAGAAAGTAGATTGCTTGTTTCTGGTGAAGGAAGAGCAGAAATGGAGCGAGTCTCATGGATAGAGTCTCTTTTGGAGGTGATGAGAATGTTCTGGAATTATGTAGTGGAGGTATTTGTACAACCTTGTGGATGTACCAAAACCCAAACCCACTGAATTGTGCAATTTAACTTGGCAGATTTTGTGGTATATGAATTATATTTCATTAAAAAAATACGATTAAATTAAATGGAATAGCATATATAAAGCACAGGAAAATTAGAAGGGGCTCACGGCATGTTAATTCCTTTTCCTTCCCCTCCCTCCTTACACCATGGATGGATACGTGGGTGGGAAGGTGAAGAGGCAGATAGAGGGAAAGATAAGTGGGGGAGGGATGAATGGCAGGAGGGAGAAAGGAAGTGAAGGAGAGAGAAAGGGAGGAAGGAGGGATGATACAGTAGTGTCCATGACAATTCTGCTAAAGTTGGCTCTGTCATCATCCATCCTGTTAGCACAGAGGCTCGCACACATCAGGCTGTCAATACAGGAGAGATCTTTTAAAGCAATGTGGCCAGAATCATGAAGCAAGTAAGGGGAAGATGGAGAATTCAGACCCAGGGCTGTCTGACTTCAAAGCCCATGTCCATTCTGCTGCAGCAGTGTGTTTGTAAACTGTAAAGTTCTAGACTGATGCGCTGAGGGGGGGTGTCAATGGCAATCATCCAGGCCTGTCTGCACTTGCACACCTATAAAAGTGCTCTGGCCTGTGGATTTCCCTCTGAGGTGGGGTTGTCAGAGAACTCTGCACCCCTCCTCGAAACCTTCTGGAGGCACCAAGGATGCTGGTGGTAGCAAGAGATGAGGTCCTTACAAGTTCATTTCCAGAAGACTTTCCCCGTGGGCTGCCCACTGAGCCCAATGTCAGCCCCTCATGACACATAACTAGACTATCCAAGGTCAGAGCTGAACGAGCCCCTGTCATCGATCAACTGAAGCTGAGAAAGGGACTAGGATGTGGCCACAGTCATGCAGCCAGCTTGTTACAAGGCTGGTCCGAATCCAGACTTCCCACTCCCTGACTGTGCTGTCTAGGGTTTGTTTAGCTTGCTTATTCAACTGGAGAGTGAAGGGGAAACAAGATTAAAATAAAAATCAAGCCCTCAGAGCCTTACCTTTAAAGAAAATGTGGTTCACTAGGACCATGACTGTTAGAGGTTCAAGGCCTTGGATTAAGTCTACCACCTTCCCTTTGGTCTCCTTCTCCACGTAGCTGTTGATCTTCTCCCGGGCAGTGGAGGTGCTTGAGAAATCTATAGAAAAGATTTTGGACTCATACAGCCTCCTGATGTTGTCCAAGAAATTTGCCTGCAGCTGCAGCTCCTTTTTGAGGAAGACGACACTCCCTATCCTCAGGTCCAGGTCTTCACTGGGGGCTCTGAGCGACTGGAGCAGGTGCTGGAAGGCCTGGTGGATGGCAGGCTCTGGCACGTGCGTGAGGTTGAACCCCAGGCTCTGGAGGATCTGGGTCTTGGTGGCTGAGCGGGCCCCAAGGGATAGCATGGCCAGGGAAGCGGAGACACTCAGTGGGGAGAAGAAGACGTTCTGGTCCGGAGTCTTCAAAACCAGCCTCCGGTACAGGCGGAAGGCAAAGTTGGTGTTGCTGGAGGACAGCCGGGAGGCGGCGGTGCTCCTTGAGGAGGACGGGCAGAGGGATCCCTTGCTGGAGTTCCCGGGTGGGGGCACACAGCGGATTACAGCGCAGATGCTGACAATGAGGAAAACTCCATAAAAGGTCGATGCCATTTTGGAACGAGGTAAGTCTGCAAGAGAGGAAAGAACCATCAAGGGAAGGTGAGCGGAGCGTATGGCCACCGAATCCGAGACCTTGCAACACCCCTCCCCATTCAAGACAGAATGGGGACAGGCGGGACGGTGAACCGGGCAGTTCACTCTGTAATCTCTTTGGCTCTCATGAACGAGAGGCAGGTAGTATCGTTGTCTTTAGCTTACAAACAAGCAAACAGGACTCCGAGATGTTGTGTCATTGACCTCAGGCCACCCAGCTAGTTCGTGTTCTGTCTGGGATTCAAAGTCAGGTCTTAAATCCCGAATCTCAGCTCCCACGGTCTTGGCTGTTTTTGCTTGGTAGGCTTCCTGTTCAGAAAGGAAGACAGTGGAACCAGGCTGCAAAGTGCCAATCTTAGCAGCCACCATAAGGCATCCTCTTATCCCTCAGAGATCCCTCGAGATATTCTTGGTCCCTTTTGTGTTGAACTGATCATTTCCTCGCCGTGGCTGCCCACTCCTAGCCACAGGCATTTGCTGGCAGTGTCGCTGTCCTTCAACAGGCTGGCCTGGGACCATAGTCCTCAGGGGCCTTGAGGACAGGTGTCTCATTGCTCTAGCCGTGAGCGCCTGGCCCCTGCACACCCCGTCCAGCTAGACTGATGCACCAGGAGCATTTTGAACTAGGCGAGCTGGAGGCAGGTGGAAATGCAGGTCATTCTGGAGCGGGGCAGGGCTGGGCTACATCTCACTCTGAGGCTCACAATGGGCAAGTTTTAGCTTCTCTGGACTTCGGTTTTCTTTTTTGGCTCTGAGGGGATGGTCTGTACCATATCTCGGTATTCAGAGGATCGAGCGTGATGAGGTCACTGGTCCCTGCAGGGATAGTCCTAAGGACCTAGCAACAACCTTTTGGTTGAAACGCAATTTATGTAAATCGAGTAATACTTGATCACACCAGATGTGATGAAAAGCAGAAGGAACTATACAAAGAATCTTTTTGCCAAGTGAGTAATTCTTTGGCGAAACTGCAAAACCATCCCCATTGCCGTTTATCTAATTGGGCGATTTTTGTCTTATAGGCAGGGGCACGTGAGGCGGGCTGCAGAGACGGGGCCACCTCTGCCCACAAGACCCACAGAGGGAATGCTGAGGAGTGCTTCTGTCCAAAAGGAATGTCCAAGGACTGTTCTGGGAGCCACATGTGTCCTTCCCTGCTCCACCCGCCTCGGGCACAAGGCCCCATGTAGGGGTGGCAGGAGACGCTTTGTGCCCTGGCCTGTGTGGAAGGGTGTTCAAGCAGGGTGGAAGCGACTGAAAGAAGGAGGCACTTGAGACGAAAACCCCGAGTTCCTCCTATTTGATGAATTCTGTGACAGGCTGCGGGTGCTCGGGACGCCGTGTGAGAATGCGGGGTCCGTAGGACAGCTCTGGTGTTAGCGTGGGTCTTGTGAAAGAGGAAACCACGGGCCCACCCTGCTGCCACTCACGCCGAGTTCCCAACCAGGCTGAAAACCTCATCCAACCGCAGGTTCTGCCTCCCCCAGAAATGTGGTCTTAACCAGTCAGTCAGGAATCTTTCCATCAGGCCCGGGAGTCAGCCACATGGGGCCTGTCCCCATAAGGGAGATGAGGTCATCCTCGTGGGAAGACCCCTTGCCTTTCCCTCTAGGGCAAAACCCCTGGCCTGGAAAAGTCTCTTTAGTTGGCCAATAATGGCCTTGCTCAACCCTCCTTCTGTGAAAACTCGCCACTACGTACACCTCCTTGGAGTGCCCTCTGTTTGCTGCCCAAGTCACGGATTGCTCAGTAAAGCCAATCAGACCTTTAAATTTTCCTCGGTGGGACTGTCATTAGCAGGAGGCCTGAGCTCAACAGGCAGTTAGGAATCAGATTCTCAGCAACACCCCTGCTCTCCTACACAACCGGGATCCAGGTAAAGAATGGCAGCCTCGTGTGACCACCTCTGCGTTGTGTCCTCCCAGGCCCCCACACCCCGCTCCATCTGTGAAAGGGGGTGGCCCTGAGGAAGAAGGGACACAGTCTGTGTGACACCCAGCACAGTGCCAGGCCCGCAGATGGCATGAAGTCAAAGCTGCTTCTTCTCCCTCATGGCTGTTGTGATTTCGCGTTCCTCCCTTGGAAGCAGAGGGAAGGGACAGGCTTGTTCCATGGTATTCCTGACTGCGGGAAGGGATGGAGTTGGGGAAGAGAACACCAGCCATTCTGGAGGGGAAGGGAGTCACCACCGGGCCCCGCGATGAGATACCATGGAGAGGCGGGGGCCTGTATCCCTCTCGGGGCAGGTGGGGGTGGGAGTGGGGCTGTCAGGGCACCTGCTAACACCAGCTGTACCTCCCAGAGGAGCCACACCCCATCCGCAGACATGGCCTTGCCAGAGGACATCTGACTCCATGCGCCACATCCTGGGCTGAGCAAGGGAGACCAGCCTGGACCAGTAGCCACTCAGTACGTTAGTGAGTATCCTGGCCCCTCGTGGCCGTGGCCTTCATGTGACCTTAGGCGAGCTGCAGCTTCTCTCTGGGCCTTGGGGACGTGGCCTCGGAGGGCTCTACGGCCATGGGCCTCAAGGGGCAGATCCTTATGCTCTTCAGGAAAAGCTCTGATGAAAGCTTACTTGCTCGGCTCTTAAAATCCAACCTCCTTCTGCACTTGGCCTCTTCCCACCCCCAGCTCCTTTCCTCTCATGGCCACCCTTTCTCTCTCCCACAGAGGCCCCCCACTGCCTCTGTGCTGTGACAAGACTGCGCTGGGGAAGGGGGTGAGTCCTGCCAGTGGGCTTTGCCCTTCTTGATAAGAGGGACACTCTATCCTCTCTGCACCTGCCCCTGTCTGGGCCCCTCTCGACCGGGGGGGTCACTGTCTTCCCCCCACCTTTTATCCTCTCTCCCCTGCTCTGTCCCACACTGGGCTCCTGGCTGGGACACTCAACCGTACCACAGACAGGGGGAACTTTCTAGATGCAAAGCTCACTGTCACTCACCTACTCAGCTTCCTCAGTGGCTCCTGACTGACCTCCGGAGGAACGGCCAAGCACCTGTCATTCGAGGTCCTTCCCGGCTGGGCTCTGACTTACCTCCCCGGCTTCATCCTTAGGCACGCAGCTGTTTCGGGTTCCTGGAAAGGTTGCATGGCCCTCCTCCCACCCACCCTGCCCTGTCTTCATTTGCATCCTTGTCTAGCTTGAGCGCCAAAGGGCCACATTCCATTCAAAAACCCTACGCTCCTGGTGACGCACACTTCTGGCAAAGCCCCAAACCTATTATAACCCACCTGTCTGCTCCTTCTCTGCCAAGTGCTGGAGGGAGGGTGGCTCAGCAAGGCAGTCTGGTCCGCGGTGACTTCCCAGTCACCGGTCTTGATGTGCCCGGCAACAGAGCACCGATGACCTCACTCTCTTATTCACTGCAGGGAGTAGCTCAGTCTTCTATTTCCCGAAGTTGGACTCCTCAGCCTGCTACCAGGTCATCTGTGTGTGCACACACACATCAGACCACCTTGCCTCCCACCTCCCACGAAAGACCGTCAGAAAAGGAACATATCCCCCTCTCCCCAGCACTCCTCCCAGAACTTTGGAGAGCATCTCTTATGCCCATCCCAGGACTCTCACGCCTGTCTCTTCTGTATTACCAGCTTCATCTTTTGTTTTTTTTAAAGATTTTTATTTATTTATTTGACAGACAGAGATCACAAATAGGCAGAGAGAGAGAGAGAGAAGCAGGCTCCCTGCTGAGCAGAGAGCCCAATGCGGGGCTCGATCCCAGGACCCTGAGATCATGACCTGAGCCGAAGGCAGCGGCTTTAACCCACTGACCCACCCAGGTCCCCACCAGCTTCATCTTTGCCGTTGGTTTTTAAACATGGTCAAGGCTTGCCCACTAGGACAAACCACTCCCAACAACACGATGGAAAGCCCCCTTGGCCACCTGTCTCCATCCTCTGCCTCCTGGCTCACATCTTTACCAGCTCTGTATTCACGGTCCTCACGGTCTCACTTCTGCTCACCCCTGACCCACTCCAGTCTGGCTTCCAGGTCCACAGAGGCGGCCAGCCTGTGACTGTGGCCAGGTTCATCTTAGCTGCCTCCCCAGAAGCAGCTGACCCTGGACACCACACTGGGCTTCTCCAGTCCCTCCCTGTGGCTCTGTGACACCACCATCTCCTGCCTTTCTCCTCTCCCCCCACCCCATCTCCCTTCATCCCTCCTCCTTAGTACCTCTGTGCGTACCCTCCTGTGCCCGGTCCTGGTGTGTCCTCTCCACCCTGAGCCTTGGTGCCCTCTCCTTGGTGCTCTCCTCCGCCTCCAGCAGATCTTATCATGCCCTGGGCTTCATTATCGAGATACCCATCACTTATTATTTCTAATTCCCAGGCCAGGTCTTTCCTCTGAACTCCATATTTCTAACCACATCCTTGATATTTCCTCCCAATGTCACAAATGAGCCGAAGCTCAGTAACATCCAGACTGAACTCAGACTCTTTCCCAAGCACCGTCTTCCCATCAAAGTCATGGCTGAGACCTATTTTCAACATCTCCATCCGCGGCACAGCCCTCATTTAGGTATTTGAGCCCAGGACTCACTCTTGTACCTCCTTCTTCCTCATTCCCCACACCAACACATCACTTACCTATTTTCAACTGTTCCAGTAGCCTCCCATTTCCCAGAGAGGGTACCGGCATCTCAACCAACCAGCACTGGCGGGGCTCTGCCAGCCCTTCTAACTTCATTACAGACCTCAAAGCAATGTTCTGGACTGCTCTATCCAGCTGTTTTGCCCATTTTTACGATGCTCCTGGGTGATCTTTGTTGTGCCCCACTCCCTTCCCCCACCAGACTTTCCCCCTGAATTAGTTCCTTTCCACTGCTTAGGTCCTCTGTCATGTCATGCCCTTAAGGAAGCTCTCTTTGAGTGCTCAGATCAGGAAAATCCCCCCCCCCTTTAAATGTTTTTATAGTACCATTAACCTCTTAGCGAAATACTTATCAAGGTCATAATTTCACAGTTATTTGCTTGACGGAAAATGAAATGAATCAGGGAACTCGCTTCTCTGTTCTCCCCGTGCACCTCTGTTTGGCCAGTACAAAGGGCTCCCTTGAAGTGTTTGATGAAGGAGTGAATTGAAATCAATTAAATGGGCAATTTACCTCTGAGGGGTGATACTGGCAGGAAATGAGCAAGAAAGACCTTTCTGGGTCTTCATTCAGGCGCTAGTTACACAGACGTGTGTATACACATAACATGTGAGTTGATTTATACTTTTGGCCGTTGAACTTATGAACAGTTGTAAACAGAAAACTGGACAAAATCCATGAAACAATTGAGACCCTGAAAAAAAATATGTGAAATAATTCAGGCATTGGACGGTAGGCAGAGAAGGCAGACAGAGAAGGGAACCCTGTGATTGTCCTGCTGTTCAGTCCAAAGACACTTTCTGGCTCCAGGCTGGGAAACCCAAGCCAGGGCTGGAGTGCCGGCTGAGCCCAGGGGACAGGGATCAGAATTTGGGAAAGCTTAGGCAGGAAAGTGAGGGTTCGCTTTGGTGCAAAAGCTATGTGCTCGGCTCTGCCTGCATAATGAGACATTCCACAAGGATGGTCCTGATGCAACAGGAAAACCTCGAACTGCCATAAAGATGTAGGCGGAACGCCCGGAGTTCACGTAGCTGGGGAGGGAGGGAGGCTCGGACTGGGCTGAGCTAGGGGACTTCCAGGAACATCTCAGGTATTCAGGAGAGACCCTACAAGAGGCACATCTTGACATTAAGGCTACACTGTCCTAGACACCTTAACAACATTGTATCTGAAATAGGACACTTTATCAGGAAGAGGTGATAAAATCCTTGACAGGATTCAAACAAAAGTTCTGTGAATACGTTAGGTGGCTTTTAAAACCAGTGTCACCACAGTAGAATCCAGACCAAAACAATTGTAAGGGAAAATCTAAGTGGTAGAAGGAAAGATCGGGAAGCTTGAAAAGACAGCAACAGGAGCTGTGCCCAAACGTAAGAGAACAGACGGGAGGAATGACAGAAGCCCAGGGATCTGCGAACTGAAAGCAGGTGGTCTCACAGATGGGTAGCTGGAGTCCTGGGCACGGAGTGGGTGGGAGAGACAAAGTCCCGAAGAAGTAATGGCCAGAAATACTTGCGTCACTTACTCTATGTAAACTACGATACAATAAAGTGATTCAGCCCTGACGTTTCTTCCCCCCGGGCTGTACCCTGAGACCTTAATTCTTAGTCTGTCTAGACGGCTCTCCATCCCTCCCCTCCTGACCAGCAGCTGCTTTCCACCCTGCCCACACCAGCTCTAGACCTCCCACGCCGCAGAGTTTTCCAGATCCCACGGAAGGTCGGGCCCTCCCTTCGCAAACACTGGAGCAAACCACAACAATCTACCTCGTCACGTGTCCGTCTCCCCCAGTGCCCAGGCTGCACCTTGTGTGGTTTCCTCCGGGGCAGGGACTCTCCTCCGTGAGAGATGGGGACCGAGGAACAATAAAGGGAAGACAAAGATGGGGGAGGAGGTGGGAGGGCAGTGGGAGGCAGGCAGGGAACCCCAAGGGCCCAGCTCCGCTCACCTGGCCCACACCCAGGCATTTTTGTAAAAAGGCCTCCGGTCGGTGAAACAGGTTGGCCTCCTGAAGTGCGGAGTTTCCCAAGCGTGGCTAATTGTCAGGAGAACCTGTGTTCTCATTAAAATGCACATTCCCAGGCCCCACCTAGAGCCACTGAGTCAGACTTTCCGGAGAACGGCAAGCCGACTTAACAATGAGGGGAGCTGGGGGTTTCTTCTTTGCGCAACTTCTGCCTGGGGCCCCAGAAAGCAGCTCCCCGAGATGATGCCCCAGCTCTGAGTGCCTCAGGCCATGGCGAAAGCAAAGACCTGTTTCTCCCCAATTCCTAAGACTAACCCTGCCACCGCAGCGATCAGGACTGGGTCCTCTGGGTCCATGCAAGGTCCCATCGAGATGGAGCCCAAGCCCAAGTCTCCATCCTCCTCCACAGACCTTCTTCCGTGGTGCCTGGGCTCCTCTGGACTCTTCTCTTCCTGGCTACAAGCTCTGCCTGCCTAACTCATCTCTATGCTTCTGCCCATTTCTGGTTTATACAGATCTTCACGCCACTCTTTAAATCTGGCTTTATACTTTTCTCTTTTAATATATATATAAGTATTATTACGTATTAATATATTAATGTATAATCAACATAATTATATATTAATATAATATACTAATATAATTAATTAATATAGAATATTGATTGTTGTTAATATTAATTAAATATATTAATATAATCAACCAATATTATATACTAGCTAATATAATCAATATATAACATTAATTATAATATATAACACATAATTATATATCATATATAATTAATTAATATTAATAAATATGCTATAAAATAATTATATGGTCAATATACTATATTACTATGATTGATTAATAAATAATAATGTAATTGATATATAATATATGTATTATATAATATATTTAATATTTAATTAATATATTTAATATACATTTTTTCAATTTCACCTATTCTTGCTCTAATTGTGGAGCACATTGGATACGTCCCGGCTGGACTTGCCATGTCGTCTTAACCAGAAGCTGTCGTCCAGAAGATCCCCAAGGGAGACCCAACAATGCCCAGTGTGGACGTGAGCACCTGTCTCGGAGGGGAGGGCTCCCTGCATTATTTTGCTGCAACAGTGCTCATTCCTTAGCCTGCCCACAGGGGCCGTGTGACTTCTAGGATCTGAGCCAAGCTGAGGGTGGAGATGGGGAAGGGGCTAGATCCAGACAGACCCTGCGGCCCTGAGGAATTTTGTCTGGGTGATCCTTTGTTTTCTGTTGGTTTGGGCAAAGAGGTCACTATTTCAACATTATGGGGCATGAGGGCTTCCTGCTCCAAAACGGATCTTCATCCTGGAGGGACCCTTTCCCAGCCCAGTCTTGGAATCTGAGATTCCTTTGTTCACGTCGCGCCGAGAGAAACAGCAGAGCAAAGGTTACCTGTGCTGGGAGGGCACGTAGTTTTCAGAGAAGCCCCCTCGGGTGCCTTCCTCCCCGCTCTGGATGCCTTTACACCCGGCATCACTGATGGGCTCTGGTGCCCCGCAAGTGCTTAGCAGGTTCACATGCATCATGTCACGTAATCCCCTGTGAGTAGTTGATGAGATGAACGGGATGGTCTCCGATTCACAGAGAAGACAACTCAGGATTGGGCACAACGAAGAGGATTGCCTCATGTCGCAAACCCAACACATGGCAGAGCTCAGATTTGAACTGGAACCTGTCTGGACTCCAGGGCCTCCTGCCATCCTCCCACCACTTGAGGCCCCCAACAAAGTCCCTGGAATGAAAGACGACCACCCCA